TGGTTTCACCACGTCCCAGAGCAAAAGGTTTTGTTGCATTTAATACCATGATAGTTTCATTTAATGCTTGGCGTATGGGTTCAATAACTCTGAAAATCTTTGTCTGCTCTGTAGCTAACTCCCTACCTAACACATGTCTAATTGCAACTGGGCCTGGACCAGTGCAGCTTCTCCATTGGACCTGTTGTTGGGCTTCAACTGCTAAACTTTGGCCAAGAGACTGTTTGGGTAACCCAAGACAACAACCGTGGGTTGGGCCCTCCTGGGCCATGCCCATCAGATTGTAATATTGGAAGTTTCATTTTGATATACATAAAATTATTCATTTCAAAAGAAGAAAATTACATAATTTCATACTTTTTTAGTCATTGTCGCATGCCCAGAGGATACCCGAGCTCATTAAATAGTTTGGACCTTCGATTTCTTTGGTCTAGTCTCACGAGTGCTATGTGAAACATAGATGAAAGTCCAGATTAGACAACTTTAATAGAAAATTCATTTTAGTGCAAAACCGTTGCCAGAAATGGACTGCATCACCAGATCTCTGAGTCACCACCTAATTTCTTAGAAAAACTAGGAAACTCGTGACTCGTGCCCAGGCCACTGTTCGTCATAACCAAAGATGTCTTGGTTTAGAACCTTAGGTATGAGGGAAGAAGGTCATTAATTGAGCACTTTCGCTCACCCGATTAAAAGATCAGCCTCTACTAAATCATGATATGAGTTTTATTGACTTTATATGTTCATATTCTAATTATTTAATAAATGCTAACATTATTATGTGAAACAATCAAGTATAGACTGCGTCATTCATTTTGGAACATTTGATTTCATGTATTTTTGAAAAAGTTTTGAATAATGTACAACTCAAAAGAAATTGAGTTTACAAACATGAAAATTGATATTATTCCAAATTGAACAATACAACCTCCATCCATTGGCATTCATAGAGATATATCACTTAAACAAGTAGCCGCATGGTAGGATGCTTAGACATAGTAAGAAAAATACTCACAAGAGAGATGCTAAAGTATAAACACTTACATAGTATTTACTGGCATCCCGCAGAAAGCTGCAAAAAAGAGTTAGGGAAATATGCATGATCATAGATACAAAATTCTAATACAATACATATACAAAAATACAACTAAAAATCTAGCTACTAATACATGACATGTGAATCATTTCAACACATAGGGTAGCGCATAAAATCACATAGAAGTTGATTAAACTCACAGATGCAAATGAGTCGAATTTAAATGCATGAAATATGGATGCAAAGCATGAGTATGATGAAAAAGAAAATATGATATTATTTACAGCTATAGAAAGTGAGTAAATAAAAAGGATATAAAAAAAAGTGGAGAATGGACATTATTACAACAAGCTAAATCTAACAAAACATACAAATAATTTATTTACAATATCTAAGGATAGTTGGCTCAGCCAACCATTTTTAATAAGTTAAATCACATATGTAAAGTAAGAAACAAAATTTAAAATAAAGAGACTACATCAGGTGGCTCAGCCAACCATTTTTAACAAGCTAAATCACATATTTAAAATAAGAAGCAAAACTCAAAATAAAGAAACTACATTAGGTGGCTCAACCAATCATTTCTAACAAGTTATATCACATATTTAAAATAAGAAACAAAATTCAAAATAAAGAAAACTACATCAGGTGGCTCAACCAATCATTTCTAACAAACTATATCACATATTTAAAGACAAGAGAAATAGAAATAAAATAAATGAGAAAATTGCAAAAACTCACATTTGAAGAAAAAGATGAATTTTCTGAATACCAAACTTTCTTCATAACACCCTCACGGTTATGGAATATGCTTTGAAATCTCATCGAGAAGTTTCAAGTTTAAGCTTTTATAAAATTTTGGATGATATATATCAACAGACAGAAAGGTTGATTGGAAACTTTGGTTGAAAATGCGCTCTTACTCTCAAAATAGCTCAAGATTTTTGAAAATCAATCTTACCCTCAAGATTTTTTGAAACAAAATTATTTTTCTTTTTTTTTTCTTTTTCAAATTTTATCTCTTTTTTCTTTTGAAACAAAATTTTCTCATTTTTTTCCTTTTGAAGCAAAATTTTATTTTCCAAAATTTTTCTCTCCCCAAGACTTTTGAAACAAAATTTTGTTTTCTAAAATTTCCTTCCTCTCCTAACAACAAAATGATGGATGTTTATAGTATTAAAAATAACCTAAAACACATGGCTAGTTATGTGGTATTTCTAAAAATATATGACTTGTCATGTGGTATCTCAAAACCATGTGGTTTGCCATGTGTTTCAAAAACATGTGGCTAGTCATGTGTTATGGGAGTCAATTTTTTCAAAACTGTTAAATTTTTTGAACAAGAAAAAATTTGAAAAAATGTTTTGAATAGGTCTAAAATAATTCGGCCAAAACGGGTGTAATATTAGAATTAAAGCTTAAACCTAACTTTTTTGCTGAGAAATTCATAAAATAATTCTAATTTTCATCATCGGGTGTTCGGAAGAAAACACCCAAATCTTTAAGTCGGTTAAAATAAGGTGTTTGCAGTCATAACCAAAAAAACATATGTGATACATAATTAAATTTAAATACCACTACATGAACATAATCAAACATTTCATTAATGTTAACTAAAATATTCTAGTATAATTTTTCTTTTGTTTTTTTTATTCCTCATAAATAATTTATATATAACCGATCCTATTTGATGAGACTTAAGATTTGATTTGGTGTAAATAATCTATATATGTAATATATTTATTGTTTAATTTCCACTTTTTATTAAAATTTAAAGTTAAATTAAATAAAAAAAATTAGTAAAAGATTAGACATGGCGTCAGAGAGTGCGCACACTAACCAATTATTTTGATTGAGTCATTTTCTAAAGGAGCCTTTTCTCATATTAAGCTAAATTTCTAATTTAATTCTCAAACTAGGTCTAGTTTGGACGGATTTTTCAAATTAGGCTAAAGCACTATTACAAATCGCGCTTTCACTATTTGAAATAGAAAATTTGATGAATAGTGAAAGCGCTGTTACAAAAAGCGCTTTTAATTAAGAAAACGCTATTACAAAAAGCGTTTTCACTGTGCATATGAAAAAAATACTATTACAAAAAGCGCTTTCATTGTGCATATCTCTTTCCTTCAGAAAACGTTTAAAATATATTAAAATGTAATCAAACTTAATCTTGAGTTCTCTGCAGCTCAAATGGTAGTGCATTGGTTTTGTTACATCTTTGCATAGGTTCAAACCACATGCACAACAACTCCAAACAATTGCTATCTAAAATGAAATTCAACCTTTTTTTTTTTTTTTCCTTCCACTCACTCTATATTTTATATATTTATTATGTAATTTTTTTATCAAAAAAAATGTTTGTTTGGTTAAATATTTTAAAAAATTAACCACCACCATTGCTACCACCACCACCACCATATTGTCGCCGCCACCATTGTCATACCGCCACTACCACCACCAACTTCATTACCATTGTTATTGTTGCCACCCGACCATCATTTTACTATCACTATCATTGCTACCGCCATCATCAATGCTATCGCTACCGCCATCATACCATCACCATTACCACTAATACCACCATCACAATATAAAATTTGAAATATACAATTCGAAAATAATAAATTTCAAATTTAATTTTATACATATCAAATAACTTATTTTTAATTCAGCTCAATTTTTATCAAACAATTTTTTAATGTAACAATTCATCATTCAGTTTTCAATACCTATTTTTTAGACTTTAGTTTTTAATTTTCAACTTTATCAGTTCAACAGTTAAAACTAAATGTATTAAGTGATAATCAATTAAGTCCGTTTGATAACTACAGTTGATATTACTTAAAAATTTAATTGCCTCTTAAAATGTAGGCCAAAACTTAAGAAAAATTTTAAATCATATGAAACTTGCTTAATTCTGACTGAATTTATAAATATTAAATATAAATAATGATATATATTATAAAAAAAATATAAAAGACAAGAATATATATACACTTCTTTCTAGAGCTTAAACTAAAATATTCGTTAAAAATTATATTTATTTTACTATTGAATTTTGTTAACGTTCTAAATTTCAATAATAAATAAAAGAATTTAAATAATTTAATATTGATTCATATTTAAATAATTTAATATTGATTCATATTTAAATAATTTAATATTGATTCATATTTAAATAATTTAATATTGATTCATATTTAAATAATTTAATATTGATTCATATTTAAATAATTTAATATTGATTCATATTTAAATAATTTAATATTGATTCATATTTAAATAATTTAATATTGATTCATATTTAAATAATTTAATATTGATTCAAGATGAAAAATAAAAGTTTAAAAGTTTAGATTATTTTGAAGAGATCTAATGGCTATCAATTTGGGTGCACGAGCACCTTCAATCATTCATTTTTTCTTTCATTAAATTTAAATTTAATAAAAAGTACTCAAAAATTATCTAATCTTTTCATTTAATGTTCATCATCATTTTTTTTTTTCAATCAAATTGAGAACTATCCAATCTTTCATCAAATTTAAATTTAATAAAAATTTAAAAAGATAAAGCTTTGGAAATAATTAAAAAAAAAAATTCATCAAATTTGGTAAAAAAAGAAAATTTGGAATAAGATGGGAACTTTGAAAAGGACTTTCATCGTATCAAATTAAATATTTTATTTAAATTTAAAATCAAATTAAATGAAAAAAATAGTGAAAGATTAGACATGGTGTTACAGAGTGCACACTCTAACCAACTATTTTAATTCATCAGTAGGTAATGAGTCATTTTCCAAAGTCTTCCCCCATTTTCCAAGTCTTCCCTCATTTGTCTTTGCACAATTGTTATGAAACCTTTATTCTGATATACATCTCAACTTGGGTCATTTAGTTCTTGGCAAAACACTATTTGCAATTTTGAGAGCTTTCCTTGAATTGAATCCAGATATCAAGTCAACATGGCATCGTTTCTACCATTTGTGCTTCAGAATCTCAACTCCTTGATCCAAAAGGAGGTGGGCTTGCTTTGGGGTGTTGACAAGGAGATGAAAAAGCTTTCAAGCACTCTCACCACCATCCAGGCTGTCCTGGAAGATGCACAACAAAAACAATTCCAAGAGAAAGCAATACAAAATTGGTTGAGAAAACTCAATGATGCAGCCCATGAAGTAGAAGACATCTTGGATGACTGCACAACCGAAGCCCTCCAATACGAATCAAAAAGGCTGAGTTCTAGTTCTCTAAAGAAGGTAATAAGCACTTCCTTATTGACTTATCCTGTTGAGAACATTCTGTTCCGTCACAAGATAGGGAATAGGATGAAAGATACCATAGAGAACTTAAATGCAATTGCTGAAGAGCGGATGAAGTTTCATTTACGTGAGGTGGTTGTGGAGAAGCGAGTTGAATTGGCTGACAGACGTGAAACCAGCTCTGCTCTAACTCAACCACAACTGTATGGAAGAGAAGAAGACAAAGAAAAAATTGTCAAAATGTTGGTTGAGAATATATGTGATTGCCAGGATGTTTCTGTCTACCCTATAATTGGCATGGGGGGGCTAGGAAAGACCACGCTTGCCCAAATGGTCTTCAACGATGAGAGGGTAGAGTGCCACTTTGAGCTTAAAATTTGGGTTTATGTTTCTCAGGATTTTGATGTGAAAAGGGTGATAAAAGCAATAATCGAATCCGTATCTGAGAGAACCTGTGAAGCCTCAAACCTAGATTCTTTGCAGAAAAAGCTTCGAGAGATGCTAAATGGGAAAAGATATTTGCTTGTATTAGATGATGTGTGGGACGAAGATCAAGACAACTGGGATGGGCTAAAGTATTTACTAGCATGTGGATCAAAAGGTGCTTCCATTATTGTTACTACTCGTGTTGCAAAGGTGGCATCAATCATGGGAACTGTTCCAGCACATCACTTGTCATTTTTATCTGAAGAAGATTGCTGGTTGTTGTTCAAACAACGGGCATTTGGACACGGGAATGAAGAGCATCCAAACCTTGTGGCCATTGGGAAGGAGATAGTGAAGAAGTGTGGGGGTGTGCCTTTAGCTGCGAAGGCCCTTGGAGGGCTAATGCGCTTCAAAAGTGAGGAAACAGATTGGCATTTTGTTAAAGAAAGTGAAATTTGGAACTTACCCCAAGACAAAAATTCCATCTTGCCTTTCTTGAGATTAAGTTACTATAACCTTCCATTGGAATTGAGACGGTGTTTTGCTTACTGTGCCATTTTTCTAAAAGGTTCTAAAATTGAAAAGGAAAAACTTATTCATCTTTGGATGGCTAATGGCTTTATTTCATCCAACGGAAAATCAGAGTTAGAAGATATTGGTAATGGTATATGGAATGAGTTATATTGGAGATCCTTTTTCCAAGATGTGGACAAAGATCCATCTGGCGACATTATTTTCAAAATTCATGATCTTATGCACGATCTTGCCCAATCAGTTATGGAAGATGAATGTCATATGATGGAGGCTGAAAGCTCAAAGAATATATCAGCGCAAAGAATTCATCATGTTACACTGGTTGCTGACTATATGCACGTGGGTGTCTTTCCTAAAGCATTATATAGAGTTGAATCCTTACATACAATTCTTCTACAATATAGACAGCCAAACACTACCTCTCAACCCTCTCATAGTTTTTTTCCTTCTTCTTGTGACCTCTCAAGTTTTTGTTCGTTACGAGTGTTCGATGCATTGGGCACCTACATGGGGCAGTTGCCATCTTCAATTGGTAAGTTAAAACATTTAGGGTACTTGAACCTTTCTGAAACTCTCATTCGTACACTACCAAAGTCAATTTGTAGCCTTCACAATTTGCAGACTTTAAACCTGAATAAGTGTTATAAGCTTCAGGGGCTGCCCAAGAACATGAAATCCCTAAGAAGCCTCCGACATCTTTTTTTGAAAGATTGCTACAAAATACAGGACATGCCTCCAAAGCTTGGGCATTTAACTCTCCTGAGGACATTAAGTTTATTTGTCGTGGGTAAGAGTAGAGGTCATCGGGTAGTTGAATTGCAATGCTTAGATCTTGGGGGAGAATTGTGTATCCGTCACCTTGAGAGAGTGAGAAACTCAACGGATGCCAAAGAAGCCAATTTGGTCGGAAAACTGAACCTCCGAATCTTGAAGTTATCATGGGAAGATAACAGTGAATCAGAATCGCAAGTAAATGTTGAACAACTACTTGAATCCCTGGAACCTCACCCAAATGTTGAAGAGTTGTTCATAGACAATTACAGAGGTGCCCACTTCCCACCTTGGATGGGGGATTCAATTGTTAAAAACGTAGTTTCTATTGAGCTACGTAGCTGCACAAACTGTTTAGTACTTCCAGCGTTTGGACAGTTGCCTTCCCTGCGACGGCTTGAGATTTCCAAAATGGATTATGTGGAGTACATTGACAATTACTTCCCTGGCGGAAGCCCAGTTAGAGGATTTCCAGCTTTGGAAGTACTATGTATTTCTCAGTTGCCGAATTTGGTAGGGTTGTCAAGGGAGGAAGGAAGAGAGCTACTCCCTTGTCTTCACAAGATAGACATCAACAATTGCCCAAAATTGACCTTGCCGCGTCTTTCATCCCCAAAACTCTTGAAGGTCTGGTTTCCCAGCAACGTGGTACTAAGTTCAATCTCAAATCTTAAGAATCTCACTACCCTTTCAGTTCATAGAGGGTACATGATTTCTTTTCCAGAAGAGATGTTGCAAAACCTAACTGTTCTTGAATCTCTAGAAATTGAAAGGTTTAGCAACCTTAAAGTGCTACCTACAAACTTGGAAAGCCTTGTCTCTTTGAAGTCATTGAGAATCTGGTGGTGTGGTGAGATTGAGTCTTTGCCAGATCATGGGCTACGAAGCCAAAAGTCTCTCCAACGTCTGACGATTAAACACTGCAATAATTTGAGTTCTTTATCTGAGAGTTTGGGACACCTCACTGCCTTGGAGGAATTGAATGTTAGTGGGTGTCCCAAGCTAGTGACTTTGCCAGACAGCATTAAACATCTTGTTTCTCTTCGACACCTACATATTGGTTATAGTGAGTTGAAGACTTTGCCTGAAGCATTGAAACATGTCCCTGCACTTCAATCTCTATTTATTGCTTGCTGCAAACAGCTCACATCACTGCCTGAATGGTTGGGAAACCTTACGTCACTTCAATCGTTGTACATTTTTTACTGTCGCAAGATTCCATCACTTCCAGATGGCTTTGAAAGGCTAACCAACCTCCAAACTTTGACCATTATGGGATGCGGTCCTGAATTGTTAAGGCGATGTCAAAAGGAAAAGGGGGAGGATTGGTATAAGATAGCAAAAATTCCAAAAATCGATCTGTAAGTGCTTTTTTTTTTTTTTTTTTTTTTATATTTTTTTACTTTTTTGGTTTTTTTTTTTTTTGACTTTTTGTGTAAAAAAATAAAGAGATGATGTAACTCAAAAAAATCGAAAAGCTAAAAAAAATTAAAATGCCAAGATTTCCAAATTGCCCCTTTATACGTGAAAAAATAAATTCCATCACTTCCACATGGCTTTCAAAGGCTAACCAACCTCCAAACTTTGAGCATTTATGGATGCTGTCCTGAATTGGTAAGGCGATGTCAAAAGGAAAAGGGGGAGGATTGGTATAAGATAGCACATATTCCAAAAATCAATCTGTAAGTGCTTGTTTATTGTTTATTGTTTTTTTTTTTTTTTTTTTTTTTCTTCTTCTCTCTAAAGATTTGTAAATGTTTGAGTTATTCATAAAGAACAATTGCTTTACTTTAAAAGGTCATATTCTTGTTCAGGACAATTGCTATCTCTTTCTCACGCACCACAAACTTGTACAGCTCTGCTCTCTCGCTCGCTCGCTCTTTCACTCGCCATTGTCATCTGAGATATCCGGTGGTATGAATCTCTCTCACTCTCTTCCTCTCTCCCAATTTCTATCTCTCTCAATCTCTCTCTCTGCACCTATACATACATATTTACTTGTATCTATGAAGTATGACTCAGATTGTGTAGTGTGAAGTTTAAATGTTAGTCGGCAAAGATTGGGTTGATGTTGATATAAATGTGTTTCGGTGAATTTGATTGAGGTTTTTGTGAATTGGATTTTGAAAATTGAATCTAATTGCTCAAGGTTGTGGAATTGTTTTAGATGGATTTGAGTTTGTCAATTTCTAAATTTTCTTTTTCTTTTTTTTTTAAATGTGAAATTAGTACTGCTCAATTGTTTTTTGTGTTAATCGAATTGTGCTATTCTGAGATCCATGTTCATGTAGAATCTGAAATTTGAGTTTTATATGTATATACCTATAAAATATTCAGACTCTTTTGAAATTCACATCTGAATTTTTTTTTTCTGATATTTTTTATCACAAATATTTGTGTTTCAGCTCCATGTTTATTATTATTATTATTATTATTTTTTATCACAATGCATTCTTCTGATAATGCATTCTTCCATATTAACTAAGAAGGCTAGTGGAGATGTTAAAAATGTTTGTTAAAGTGTATTATATGACAAAAAGTGAAGTCCAATTTGGTATGTTAAGGGTTTGTTCATGTAGTAGTGTATATGGGTGTTCCAATGGAGATGTTAAAATGTGTTGTCGTCTTAGCCTCAACTACTTCAACTCTGCACAACCTTTTTATTTGTGGAACATTTCCACAAAACTAAAAAAGGATTTTGTGATAAGATCGTCATCTTCACAAACAAATTTTCAAAACCCAACCTTCTTTTACAGAGGCAAAATTAAAGATTAATTCTTATCAAAAAGAATGAGAAAGGAGACTTTTTGACTAACCAAAATAAAAACTTTAACTTCTTTGTAAATAAATTCATAATATATTGAATTGATCCTTGTTATGGAGTTTTTTCCATAATCTTTCATAACCGTATCAGTTCTGGCTTGTTTTCCTCTCATCCAAAGTGTCATGATTCATGAATTGAACATTAGGCACATTTGCTTTGCAGATGACCTCTTTGTTCTTTGTTATCCTAATGATCAGTCATTTTAAATAGTTTTTAATGCTCTTCTTGAATTCAATAAATTTTCTGGCCTTCCGCCAAAAAAGAGCAAAAGCAAGATTTACATTATTGGTGTTGATGATCAATCTAAGATAGATCTTCTCAATTTAATTCGGGTTCAACTTGGTTCCCTTCCGGTCAAATACTTAAGAGTGCCCCTTATTTCTAGTTAGCTCTCAGCTGATAATTGTAAAGGCCTCATTGACAAAATTAGTTTCTTTCCTACACTGATAGACTTCACATTATCCAGTCTATTCTCTTCAGCAAGTTTTTTGGTCCATGCACTTTATCCTCCTCAAATCAGTATGCTTCCATATAGAGCAGTTGCTCAGGATTTGTGGACAGGGACCAACTCTTTTTTTTTTTTTTTTTTTTTTTTTTTTTTTAGCAACAACTAAATTTTATTAAAAAATGTGAAACAGGACAAGGAGGGACCAACTCTTACCTTCATTATAATAAATTCGCTTGAGGACTCTTTGCTTGCCTAAAACAGAAGGAGGTCTTGGCATTAGAAACCTTCTAGATTGGAACCATGCTTATTTCCTCAGGCATATTTGGGTCATTTACTCTAAGCATCATTCAACTGTGAGTTCAATTAGGGGTGTAAGCGGATTGGTTCAAGGGAAAGTTTAGCACCAAACCGAACCTTTCGGTTTTGTTGGTTGAGGAACCAAAGCAGACCGCATTCTACGGTTCAGTTTTCTCGGTTTGGTGTAGAGAAGGGAACATGAGATTTTAAAAGGGTTTTATAAAAACTTGCACAATCACACATTGAGAATAAATACAAAGCTACACCCCTAATTGAAAACTGAGAAGGGAACATGAGATTTTAAAAGGGTTTTGTTGGTTGAGGAACCAAAACAGACCGCATTCTACGGTTCAGTTTTCTCGGTTTGGTGTAGAGAAGGGAACATGAGATTTTAAAAGGGTTTTGTTCTAGAGATGATGAGGTTCAGTGCATTATTTCCTCCTCTCTTAAATACAAAGCTACAACACTTTTGATGCTATCAAGCCCCATTCCCTTTCTGTGATTTGGCATAAGATTATTTGGTTCCCTAAGTACATTCCCAGACACGGCTTTGTTTTTGGATGGCTATTAGAGGAAGGCTTAGGACTAAGGCAGGCTCAAAGATTGGGGGGAGATTGATTCACTACTTGTCTCGTTTGTCCACAAAGACGATGAGTCTCTTTCTCATATTTCTTTAATTGTTCCTTCTCTGGAGCAATTTGGGAGCAGATCAGTTATCTTTGTTGCTTTTCTAAGGCTCAACATTCTAGGGATAATGAGATATCATGGATTGCTAACCAATTTAGTGGGAATTTTTTTTTCCATATAGTGAGGAAAATTGCTTAGGCTGCAACGGTATACTACATCTGGCAAGAGAGAAATCATGGGATTTCAAAGGATGTCATAGGCCTACATATTTGATGAATCAGATTAATTCTGATATTAGAGTTAAATGTTCTCAGGTTGCATCTATTAAGCAATCTTACTCTAATATGCTATTGTGTAAAAACTTGTAGATTTCTAAGAGAATTTTTGCTCCCCATTAGTCTAGCCGCTTTGTGTTTTTCTTGATTTTGGTATTTGAAAGGTATGCCTCCCTTGATTTTTGTATTCTTTGTTTCTTTGAATGAAATTCTCACATACCCAAAAAAAATATTCATAATAGGATGACCTTAAACTAATTTTAAGCTTATAATTGACTTAAGTGTAATTAAATGGCCGTTCACTTAAGTGTAAATTTTAATAATCCTTAATAAAAATGAAATGCCCAAACAAAACCTGGAAACACCTAATTCAATCCATTCAATTTGATATCACTTTGCATCACTACTTAGTGCCTTTATGATGATTGAATTGAAGCTTGATTAACGAGCCCACTAAGAAAAAAAACAAATGATATACATATATATATATGTTTGTGTACTCACCAAAACAGACCTTAGTTCACTAGTCTGCAACAGATTGATTAACCTCGTGGGCTGTGAACTCATAAACATGTAAAACACTCTTGCTTCAAGTTTTAAACCTTTCACTAAATATTTGATTCATATTTCTAGAACTCTACATAATTATGTATATTATATGATCAAAGATTTTGAAATTAGGTTTGTATTTTTTTCTCCCACGGATAAAACTATTGGACTGATTCATCTCACTTGGACTAAGATTCTAAAGCTAAAAGTTGCAATCATTCACCATGAAATGTTTATGGATTAGCTACCTCCTATAGTAGGGACTAGAGAAAAATGTGATTAGTTTTGAAATGTTCCATATGATACATGATTAAGAGTTCAACTTTCGCTGTCATTTCTTGCTATTGGTGGAACAATCGATGTTAGATGAACTTCTTTTAGCTGTCATTGTTGCTGATTATTTGTTTTCATTCTAGTACTTCAAAGATCTGTCGTCAAATAATAGAAAGGCTTGTACTAAATAAATCTTCCAATTTGAAATCCATCAAAACAGAAAGTGACCACTGCCCATTGGCACTGTGTAACAATTGATATGATTGAAGTAACAGAAAGTTATTGGGTATTCATAATAATGGTTAGGGTAAATTACAATGATCTCTCTTGAGATTTGGATGCAATACAGTAAGCTCCCTTGACGTTTAGTTTTAAATTATAGTGGCCTCCTCTAAGGTTTAATCAAATTGCAGAAACGTCCCCTAAGATTTGTGAAATGATAGAAACCTCCCTTAAGGTTTAGTTTTTTATTATAAATTCCCTCTTTTGTTACTTCATCGTTTAAAAAAAAAAAAAAAAAAGGAAAAGAAATTTGTTGACAATATCAAATAAGTTAATTACATTTCTAATTTTACTCTTAAAATTGTGCCTAATTACAAAGATATAAAAGAATGCAAATTTTTTTTTCTCTTTTTGTTATGCCTGCAATTACTATTGATTGCGTATGCTTCCTTTATCCAAAACGCACATGTTGCCAAGTATATATCCCGCATATCATGATAGGATTATTGTAACTAGTTGCTTAATCTGTTAATGGTTTGAATGCAAGGAAATCAGAACTAATTCATGAAAGATTCTACAAGTATGTGGTTTAGTTTCACACTTGTGCATCTATTTCAATATTATTGACTACTTCTTTAGCTTTTTTAGCTCTTATTGCCTCTTATAGTTTCATCAATAGTGCAAAAATACCGAGTTTTCAAGAACAACGTAGTTACTACGTGGTAACCATGTTGTGATCAACATGTCTGACCTTCATCTAATTCATATACTAGCAGACAAATTGATGTAACAAATTATTTGAAGAAGATAAGTCATTTGTTCTTTTCTACGTGATTACATTTGAACAACA